GGGGGGGAGGACGGGCCCCAAAAAAAAAAACCCCCAAAAAAAAAAAAAAAAAAAAAAGTACAATGAAAAGTAAAAAGAAAACACATGGAGAGAGAGAGAGAGTGTGTGTGTGTGTGTGTGTGTGTGTGGCAAAAATGCCAAAGGAGAATGGAGAAGAGATTGAGGCATGGCCATTGTAAGTGGGGTTGCTTTCTCACTCCCCCCCCATCTCTCTGGCAAGCACATGCACCCTATAGCAAATTTTTAAAAAACAGACCAGGGACCAGCAGGTGCCATACTGGTTAAGGCACTGGACTCAAACATACCCAACCATGGTTTGAGTCCTAGACCTAAAGGTTTAAAACTCATGCCAAGCCCATGTGAGTGCATGCATGTGAGTGCATGCCCAAAATCTAAGAGGAGAATGGGGGTGAAGAGATGGTGGCACGGTCACCGTCCTGGGGGGAGGGGGTGATTTCATGCTTTCTCTCTCTGTCTCTCTCTCTCTCTCTGTCTCTCTAGTGAGGGCATGTGCCCTACAGCAAAAATCTCTCCAAAACAAAACAAACAAAATGATGTACGTATTCTGCTTACCTAAATGTTATGTGAAAAAGAGAAGATGGAGATAAATACGGAACCCTAGTTGGTGATTTGCATGCAAAGTGCGTAGGAATGAAGTTTATTGATGTGTGCAACTTACGTTGAGAGGCATTAAAAATTAAGATGGATTGATATGCGATAAAACCAACGTTAACCTTTGTAGCATTAAGGTGTTTACAGTACAGTCCTGTCAACTTTTCTGAATACTTGAACATTTGTGTAGTAAGAAAAAAAGAACATGGAAAAACGAACAAAGCTGATAGAAATAATACGTACACTTCCCTTTGGCCTGAAATGACATAAGAAAATATGAAGTTTGGCCTGCTTTAGGATTATCCCGATTTCCTCTGTGATCTCATCTTAGTGAGAAGGACAGATTGGGGAGTTACAGATATTGCCCATTGATTTTCAAAGAGGAAATTTTAAAAATATGAAGTGCCCCTGAGTCCCCTGGGACATCTCTGTGTAAGAGACGTACTCCCAAATTAAGCCAGCCGGGCCAGGGTAGAGAGACTGCTTTCCCAACTGTGTATCTTTCCGCAGCCTCTTGATTAGAAAGAACTCTGTTTCTTTTCTTATTCCATGAGAGACGGAGATGGTCACTCCCCACAGGGCCCTCACGCCATGATCTCCTCCCATCACAGACACATGTGTGCATGTCCAGCATCTCAGGGAGGTTTCAGGACATGGACCCAGGACCTTTCCCACGTGAGTCCGGATTACTGCTGTGCCACTACCTGGCCCCAAGGAGGTCTCTATTTTTTTTTTTCTTTTAGGTTTTTGCCATAGGGGATGTGCACTCTTCTGAGAGAGA